CAAAATCGCCCATGGTGAAAATCTAGTATTTTCTGATTTTCTTGGACTGTGTTTGAGCTATCGGGAATTGGAATACACCATTCGATAGAGCTCATCGAGTTGTACTTGGAACACACCCTGGGACAGTTGAAACATGTTCCTGGGCGAATCTTGGCTGGATTTACTCGAATCTGGTGCTAACTTCGCCTACGTCTGTCGATTTTATAATGTGTAACGATATATCGTAGCTCGACAAGAAACTGTACTACGTCTACGTTTAAAGCTAGCTAACCAGCTGTGTGGTGCACGAGAAATTTTCTAAGTTTAATTCTTTGGAAACTTTCAAAGCCCATTATTGAAGATCTGGATCATGTACAGGAAGAACTTGTTCTCTTGAATAAACAGTGTTTTTTGTAGATAACTTCATCAACGATTTGAGTTTTTTGTTGTTCGGTGCCTTGTTGTTCTAAATATTTATGGAAACGACTAACGTAACCTTAGTTTGATAAAGTTTTAAAACGACCATGTATATTCTTCCATGAATAACGACGTTTGTCACTGCCATCTTTTTCATCTGCATGAGTAATCACTTCTTTCATATATTCGAATTAATAGTGATTTAAACCATATGTATCTTTCTCGCTTTCTTAATTCGTCCATTCATTATCAGTTTCATCACTTTCTTCATTGGCAATTTTGTTTTCATCATCACTACCACTACTATGATCTGACATCATGATATCTAAATCTAAGGTTATTTCTTCTTCATAATGAAAGCTTTTACAATTCTTAAAAGAATTTAGAGTTTCATAGAAGTGTTGTGCAATTTCTCATTCTTTTGGTGTGATTCGAGATGGAGAATGTAAGTTGAGATTTGACTGTACTAAATCGGCTAAAACGTTAACAATATTCCGAAGACTCATTAGACCTGAAATCTAAATTGAATGTTGTTAGGTCAAACGTTAAAGTTATGATGTTATTATAGGATATAAGGGGACTTACCTTGATGTTCAGGAATACGTGATCAGCTGAGGAGAGGATGTGAGATCGTTTTCAGATGGACGGTTTACTTCACGAAGACCAAAACGCACACAAGAGAGGTAGTATTAAATGCTACTTCTCTTCACCAAAACAAAATAACAACTGAACGATATCAAAATCTGAAAAAATTCTAAAGAGAGAGATAGACAGAACGAAAAAGAGAAATCTTATTATTGAACGAACGAAAGGGAAAAATCTAATTAACTACAGAACGAAAAGGAAGATGCCGACAAATGAGAAAATAAGAAGAAGGAACCAATTGAACTTTGTTCAATTAAGTTAGCGTCGACATAGTATCATCTGTTGACGCTAACAAATGTAATGAAATATATTAGAAAATCAAATTTTCATAAGAAATCGCTCGATCAAAAAAATATCGAAAACTATGTTATGAAAGGTTGTCGTTGACCACTTACCAGTTGTTAGTCAGACAAAGAATACTTATCAGGTATATGCATATGTTGTTTTATTATTGCAATCAACGGGTGCATATAAGCAAGAGTATGGAAGGAAGAAGAATTCATTAGAAGATGATAGAAAAAGGAGTCAGTAGAGAATACAAGAGAGAACAAGACAGAAAACGAATGTGACTGAACATACTAGAAAGGAGGACATATATGTACGCACGCGTGAACGATAGGACGAAAGAAGATATAGATGGAATACATGTATATGATGACGTCACCAACAACGGCAGAAAGAAAGAGATGATGCACAAATGATGCCACCAATTAATACTTACCTCTTAACTGTGAAAAAAGAATTCTATTCGAGAATGCAGTCGGTTTTTCAATGTTTCTTTTGAAAATAACAATTAATATAAGATAATATAATCTAAAATATTAAATTATGATCTGAAATACGCAATAGACACAGATTAACAGAATATTCAGAGGTAAAAACGAGAAAAAAGCTAAAACTTTTCAGACATGCAAAGTTTAGAGTATTGTACTGACCTCAACAATGATTCAAAAATTGAAAATAAAAAGTTTCTATAGACAATTCAATGTGCTCTACAACCTAAACAGATCAGGAAACTTTTTGACGAAAAATATTTTTTCTGTAGAAAACTAGTTTTTCGAACCTGGGTCTCTGAAAGCCTATAAGCCGCTGAGACTCTGATATTCGGATTCAGCATGATTGATTGCCTATATTCAGATAAGTTTCGGCTGGAATACCATTTATTAGTTGGTGGATCTTCCTCGTTAGCCTCAAATTCGGATAGGCGACAAGACTCTTAAGGCTTGAGTAGCATCGTCGGGTGAAGTGAACGAATTAGATAGATTTTTTACTTTTCTTCTCACTCAGAAAACTTCGTCCAGTTTCAAAAGTTTGACTCTAAGATCAAATTCAGAGCATTCTAGCAGCATTGACTGAGGATTGAGCGATAAATTAGTGAAATTATCAAAATCTCGATCTATGTTCCGTGCTGAAATCTGAGGTTGACTCCAATGAATTTTACCTTGAGTACGGATATGCCTTTGAGAAACCTAGAAATTTTGAAAAGTTCCAAAAATAAATCCAGAGATTTAAACGAGACCAGAAAGTTCGCTTCGCTTGAGAATTTTAGAGAAAGGTCTCGAATTT